CATTAGTTTCAATGTCCCTTGTTTCTTTAGGAATCCATACTTGTCTAACTTTAAAACGTTTTCATTTCTTCAAAGGACAAGTATGTTCCATATGACCATGAAAATGACAATGTGAGCATTTTTCCATTTTTAAACATAATAAGTTATTTTTAGAAATTACTTCTTTTTCTAAATCATTGATTTTTACTTTTGAAAGTTCTAAAACATTTTTCAAAAATTTTATTTTGATTTTCAAAATCAATTTTTGTTTTCAAAATCAAATTAATTTCTTATATTTGGAATTCATGGTCTCTAATCCCAAATACAACTTATTATAGGCATCTTGTAACTAATCAAAAGAAAATGAATTAAATTCATTTAAGTTAGAAGATACCTCAGGTTTTTCTTCGGTGGCCATGAGGCATAGGTTGACTACTTCATCTTCATCATTGGAATCATCTTCATTACTCCAAGATGCAACAAATGCCTTCTTCTTGCTTGACCCCTTTTTCTTTAGAAGATGACATTCATATTTGACATGTCCCTTTCTTTGACAATTGAAGCACACCGGGGGACTCTTCTTCTTGGTTGATTCACGCCTCACTTCCTTGGAAGCCATGAATCTCTTTACCTCTTTGAAGAGCTTTGTCATCTCTTCTTCTTGTTCATCATCGTCTTCATCCACCTCATCACTTGAATCTTGATAGCTTTCATTGGTGGATTTGAAGACAATTCCTACCTCATTCTTCTTCTTGTTTTTCTTCTTTTCACCTTCTTCTTCTTCATTCAACATCATCTCATGAGTGAGAAGGGAACCAATTAGCTCGTCGAGAGTAAGAGACTTTAGGTCTCTGGCTTCGATAATGACGGTCTTCTTCGATTACCACGAACATGGAAGAGAGTAGATCATATTCCTTACAAGCTCCTCATTAGAGATTACTTCTCCAAATCCCCTGAGACCGTTGACAATCATGGAAAATATATCCGTCATAGCTTTGATGTCTTCATCGGGTTTCATTTTGAAGTTCTCGTAGCTATGGTTGAGAAGACTTTTCTTTGATTCCCTCATTTCATCGGTTCCTTCATGAGTGACTTGGAGCTTATCCCAAATCTCTTTGACAGTAGAACAAGAGGATATTCTTCCATATTCGTTTGGGCCTAATGCACAAAAGAGAATATGGATAGCCTTAGAATTAAGCTGGAACTTTTTCTTCTCTTCATTACTTCAATCGTCGTATTCACCAGGTGGAGTGGAGTAACCCCTCATGATCGAGTTCCAAGCTCCTAGATCATAAGCTCGAATAAATAACATCATCTTATTCTTCCAATGTGCATAATTTGCTCCATTGAAGAATGGTGGCTTGTTGACCGATTACGAATCCATAATAGGTGAATCTTCATTGTAATAGGCACCAGTGGTTAAAGCCATTTCTTTGCCGGTTGCGTCGAAAATCGTTATAGCTTCTTCGAGGATCGTCTCAAGGATGTTAAGCCTTTTAACGAGCTAGCCTCTGATGCCAATTATTGGGATTTGCAGAAGCTCGAATCGATAATCGGAATGGTTTACAAAGAGGGTTGTGATCGGTTTTTGTGTTTAGGGAGTAAGGAGATTGAAAGATAAAGAATTGCACAACGATTTATAGTGGTTCGACTTCTCAACCAAGTCTACATCCACTACCTTAGCTCCTTACCAAGGATTTTCCAACAAATTCATTAATTTGTTCTTTCTTTTTCAAGGACTAAGAGATAACATTTACAAACTCCCTAATTTTTCACGGGTTAAACTAGAACCTTTCCCTAGCTTTTAGCAGGCTTAGCTAGAACCAAAACCCCTTTACAATGAAAGAAAATTTATGTTTACAAGAATTAAGCTCACAAGAACAGAAATATTTACAAGAGAAAGATGAAATAAGAATGAAAAAATCTTCTCTTGTGTTTGATTGCTTGGATAGTTGTTCTCTATGTTCTTCAAGTGTCTTGAACATGTATTTATAAGTTGGAATTAGTTTGAAGTCGTATATAGCTGTTGGGATTCATTTTCTGCAAAATAAAACTGCCATAACAAGTAGTATCGGTACCCTTTCAATGGGTATCAGTACCCCTTCATAGTATTTGAAATTTTTGACCGTTGGGATTAATTTTACTGTAGCAGTATAGATACCCCTGTAGCGGTATCGGTACCCATTTTGCATTATGGAATTTTGAGCATCGATAATGTTCATTACTGTTCACACAGTATCGGTACTATTCATACAATATTGATACTATTCATACAATATCGATCTATTTATACAGTATAATAATATTCATAAAACATTTTTGTGCTCAATTCCAAATTAATGGATTTTGAATTATTTTTGTAAACTTTGAAAACTTTGAATGAATTCAATTCAAGTCCAAAAACATTTTACCATAAATTATTATATCAAAACATAGTTCAACAACAAGTTATTTGAGTTGGCGAGTCATATTTTATGACTCAAATTTTATTTATTTTTTCAATTCGAGATTAGTTTATGAAATTCGAGTCGATTCAAGTTGTTTGAGTTTCTATAAAAATTTAACTATAATTATTTATAATATTATGGTATAAATTGGGTTCTAATTTATCGAATTTCTCTAACCATATAAGATATTCATATATATTTTTTCATATTCTTTTTCAAATTATAAAATTATTTCATAAATCAAAATAATATAAAATTTTAGTAAATTATATTTATAATTTTATTTTTCAAAGAAGGTATTTTGAAGATAAAGTGTTGATGCGAGTATAAATGAGTCAAGAAATTGATGAGAAGAAAGAATTGCAAACAAATTATAGACAAAAGATCAAATTAAGTAACATGCAAAGTTAAGAGACTAAATTGAAAAAAAGAGTGAATTTGTAGTTAAAAATAGGAATTTAAGTCACATAGGTATTCTATAGTGATAGAGGAGCATATGATTTAAATTTGATCAAAATGAACTTAAAATGAAGGATTAATTGAAGAAACGGTGAAATCATGTAAAGGTAAGAACTAAATTGAAAATTGAAAAATATTATAAAAATAACAATTGATGATATATAGTTATTCTACAATGATTTTAGAGCATATGGTCAAGATTTGGCAAAACAAAAAGGACTTAAAATGAATGAGCAATCGAAGGAATGAGAAATCATGCAAATTTGAAGGGTTGCATTGAAAAAAATATAAAATTTGTTATCAAATAGAGAAATTGAATATACATAGGTGTTCTACAATGATTTAGGTGCATGTGGTTCAAACTTGGTTAAAAATGAACTTAAAATGAATGAAGAATTGAAGGAATGAGAAAATCATGCAAAGTTGAAGGACTAAGTTGAAAAAATAGAAAATTTGTTATTAAAAAGAGGAATTGAAGATTCATATGTATTTTAAAATGCTTTAGGAGTATGTGGTTCAAATTTAGTAAAAGATAGAGTTAAAATGAAAAAAGGAATCGAAGAAATAAGGAAATCAAGGATCAAATTGCAAAAATACCAAAATACTCAATAAATTTTTTATTTTTCAATTAACTCGAAAATTTTAAATTGTAGCTCGACTCAAAATTTGACTCGATGGTTCGAATTGGATCAAATAACTCAACTTAAATAATTTGAAATTGAAAAAAAATTATTTTTTAAGTCGAGTCTAGTTTTTCTCACCCCAAAAATTATTATTCTATCTAAATTTTAGGGTAAAATATATAAATAATCCCTAAACTTTTAGGGCGTTTGCATTTTGGTCACCTAACTTTTGAAACTTGCAATATAATCATCGAACTTTTAGTTTATTTTCAGTAAGGTCTCTGTCGTTACCTCCCGTTAGTTTTAGTTGATGTGCTCGACTCAAAAATTGACTCGATGGTTCGAATTGGATCAAATAACTCAACTTAAATAATTTGAAATTGAAAAAAAATTATTTTTTAAGTCGAGTCTAGTTTTGCTCACCCCAAAAATTATTATTCTATCTAAATTTCAGGGTAAAATATATAAATAATCCCTGAACTTTTAGGGCATTTGCATTTTGGTCACCTAACTTTTGAAACTTGCAATATAATCATCGAACTTTTAGTTCATTTTCAGTAAGGTCTCTGTCGTTACCTCCCGTTAGTTTTAGTTGATGTGGCACTTGACTCCCATTTACTCCCCTTTATTCTTCTTCTTCTTCTTCATCTCTTTTTCCTTCTCCTTCTTCTCCTCCTTTGCATTAATGCTTACATTATTTTTAACCAACGACGGACAACGGCGAGGAGGCACGATGACTGAGTTTTGGTTGGAACAATATGAGGACTTCAACGATGATGGTGGTGTGGTGAACGAACTGCTCAATTGGTCAAAAAATGATGAAAACAGAAAAAGGGCGTTGCGGTTTTCCAACGAGATCGGGGCCCTCTCCATAGAGAATAGAGGTGAGTATCGGCGAGTAGCTAACGAGGTTTTGGTCAGAATGGGGTGACACTCCTACTGGTATTGGCGTTGACGGTTACCACTACAGAGACCGGGATGGGTGTTCGAACGGTCTTCTCGTGATTTGGGATGAATGGTGGACGATGAGTATAAATCGAGGGTCGGGGTGTGGTCAGGAGGCTACGCCGATGACGATGGTGATGGCGGTGTGAGCCACCGTTGACTGAAGGTGGGGTGAACGAAAGTTATTTTTATGTGTGTGAGAGAAGAAGAAGAAGAAGAAGAAGAAGAAGAAGAGGGGTTAATGGGAGTTAAGTGTTATGTCAACTAAAACTAATTGGAGGTAACGACAAAGACCTTACTGAAAACGAACTAAAAGTTCGATGATTGTATTACAAGTTTCAAAAGTTAGGTGACCAAAATGCAAGTGTGTTAAAAATTTGGGGACTATTTATATAATATTTTTAATTATACTCATTTCTATATTTTTTAATCTTAAATTAAATTATCTGCATAACTTACCTTTGTATTATTGAATTAAGCCCAAGAACTTGGTATTCGTATTGATTTGTTAATCGACCCTAATAAAACGGGTCAAGTCCTAAACCTGTTCATTTGAACCTCATAACAGCCAGAAACAAGAGAACGGAAAGCAAAGAAAACAATGGCGGAAGACACGTTGTATGTTCAACTGCACAAGCTTTCATCTGTAAAGTCGGAGGAAATTATGGACCAAATTCTCACTACCCTTTGGAAAACCCGACGCTCCGGTCTTCCTCCGCCCGACAAGTCTCGCTTCCAATCTCTCCTCTCACTCCCCGAGATCGACCCCGTAATTTTCATTCCCAGCTTCTCTGCAACCAAACACGCCTCTTTCAATTATTTCCCCCCTTTTAGCATGGTTACTTCGTCTCAGTCTAAAACCTTGAAACTTGAAAGTCAAAATCATTGAAAAGATTACGCCTTTTCTTTTGTTTTTTCTTTTTGCCATTTACTAATTCAAAAATTGCTAAAAACAAAATTAGTATTTGTCCAGGAATAAGTGAGCCGCGGACACTTCTTTTCTTGTCATGTTTGTAGTGATAATTGTTAAATGAATAATGATGTGCAGAGAACTGTGATGAATAGGTATTGGCATGCCTTCGATTGCTTATCAGGAAATCCGTACACGAAAATTACAATGGCGATGATCTTTTGAAGCTATTTCCGCCTGATTTGTCACTTGATTTGCAAAGTCTTCTAGTTCTATCGTTGCGGAAATATCAGAGTCAATGGAAGGAAGAAATAGCAAAAGAACAGGTGAGCAGTAACTTCTTTCAAAATTGTTCGAAAAATATTTGATGATATATGTGCCTGTTTACCTCTATGCTAATGTGCGTTGGTGAAATGGGTGTTGTTATTTTTGCAAACATTGCATGTTAAGCAGCTTATGATGGTGATTCAAATTAAATCCATTGTCTTCCATTGAATAAGAACTGGGGACATACAAGTTGATTCATTAGTTACGTGTTACTTTTACTCAAAGCTGTGTTATTCAGAGGTCTTTGCAAGCTGCAAAGAGTATTGCACCTTGAGGATGTTTGTAATGATTATTCATACCAAATTCAAAACCTTTTATTTAATGTATGTAGAGGATATATAAGTTGATTTATTACTGGCTTGTTACTTTTGCACAAACTCAAAAAAGATTTAGAATGTTGCAATTTGTCCTGAAAAGCTTATGTTTGAAAAGGTGGGAGTGAAATTTTATACCAGAGCCTTGTGATGTAAATATAATATACTCAAATTAGTAGTTTTAGACTGTTAACGGAATCTATCAAAAGCTGGTTTTGCTAGGTAATGTAATGGTTACTCTTCTCTTTTTTCACCTGAACTCTCATCATATATATATATTTGTAATGCATTATATTCATCTTGTCCAGCATCCACATTCATTGCCAAGGACCAGTGTTTCCTATCAGATAAAGGCAAACACCCCACCATTGTTCACATCTTTGCCATCTTCTGATATTCCGACATCCTTGTGGCCTCGTCAACATGATCCTAGTTCCCGCATTAACCTTGGTGATTTTGGAGCTTTACCAATCATTGCTGATGCTCCTGGTTTTCACCTGGCTCCCTTGTCAATGCAACAGGATGCCGATCCTCCAGGCAATCTGGTATAATATTAATTCTTATTTTGTTCATTACTTTCTTTTTCAATTAATACAAGTATAATCAGTTAATTTCATAACATATCATTTCATGTACATGTACTCTTCAACTAATCATCTCCCTTTGCCAGCTACCTCTTGGATTTCTGTCTTTCTTTACAATGATGAAATTTATGCAGCACGTTTTCCCCACATTACCATTAATCATCCAGCAGTCTAAATCAAACACATACTTCTTATTACAATTTATCTTTGTGTTAGGGAACACATACTTCTTATTACAATTTATCTTTGTGTTAGGGAAAGGAGTTTGGTGTAATTTGCTTTAGTTAAAGGTTTATTCATCTCATTGTTGAAAAGGTGGAAGTTCTGACTCTTACCTGTACACACATGAATCATAAGGATGCTATTTCTTTTGATATGGCTGCTGGTCTGACTTTCCTACTTGGGTTTATTTCTTGACTGAGATTTAATTAGCTTTTTTGTAATACGTATTTTCATCTTGCTGCCATTTTAAACTAAGATATTGGATTCCTTAAGCCCAAATGTTGTAAATGAATATGCTATTGTACTTACTATTCATTTATGGCTCATTTTATGTTGTTAAAATTTCTTGATATGACTTTCTTAATTTGGTTATAGGAAGTTTTACCCCGCCTTAAATCAATGACATGGACCATGGAGAATCTCAACTCAGCACCAGCCAATAGAGTAGCTATTATCCATCTTAAGGTATGTGATCGATATGGCAGCAGCAATTCTGACTGCATCATTGCAAATTACCGAATAGTTCCGTTTTTCTGATGTCCCAAATGAACTTATTTGAATAACATTTTACATGTCATCAACACAAAGACATCTATTCTTCCATTATCCTATGTGCTATTAACTTCCAGTGGAAGAATAACAAGAATAATTAGAGAATTAATGATGCTTACATATTAACGGCATCAGGGATATTGACAAAATAAGTTTCTTGAAGTTGTTATGACCAAATAAAAAATGCTCTGGAGTCTATCCTCTGTAGTGCTTTTTTATACCTCTCCTTCCAGCTACTCCACAAAATAGAAGGGGGAAAAATGATTTGTGGTTCTTCTTACCTTCCTGTTCCCAAATCCCTTTTACTCATCAGCTTTAGGGTAACACAAAGTTTCAGCCGATGCTCTAAAGGCAGGCATAAAAGTCAAATTGACATATTATTACCAGATGGTGCCTGATTAAGAGCTCCCTTAGGCAGATAGGCATTGATTTTAATGATTGGGAGTATTTAGATTCTTGCATGAATGTTCCATTCTGACTTTAGATATAATAGTACACAATGGAGGAAATAATATTATTTAACAAATGCCTTTTACTTATGGTTACCATCACTTCCTTTAAATTGTTTGATGCATAGTAATTGAAACAAAGGTCAACACTGCAAATCATGGGTCGTTGAAATAATTACTTTGGTTCTTTGATGTATGAGGCCTTTTCTTCGAATGAGAATTCCGCTGCCACTATCAAGTTTCTCATCCATTTAAGTGTAAATTCTTAACTGTGGTTAATGACTTATTTCTTTTCTCATGCCTGTTAGCAGCTTCAAGATTATACCAAATCTCCTTCAGATGAGATAGAAGTGAAATTTCAGCTGACTATAGACACACTTGAAGCCATGTTGAGATCATTGACTTACATCAGTGAACAACTTTCAAACACGGTAAGAGTGCCTTTCTGTATTATTATGGATCTGAATATTATGGTTACTAGAACAGCTTTTGAGAATTAGGAACTCGATTTTTGGGTGTTCAAGGTGTTCTTCGAGTGCCATTGCATACTACTTCTCATGCTTTCGTTCTTGAACATTTTAGCTACCCCTAGTCCTCTAGTGTACCACCATACTTGCAAGATTGTATTTGGAATCTTGAATTTTCGTTCATTTCCGTCTCTTAACGACTGTGTTATTGGATTGTACTAGAGGAACATTACTCCTAGCTTGTTTTTGTCTTTTTATTTGGCAGGCTGGGACTTCGACGGAGCCGGCACAGAAAAAGCAAAAGCAATAGAACTGTACGGCCTTGGTTTGTTTCTTCTCTCTTTCTCTTTTGTACCGACATTCTATATAGATTCAAACCTGCATGTGATCTCATTAGAGATTGAATGAACTCATATGCATCATTTGAATTGGCTTTGACTTCATTCATTCTTGTGATGATGATCTGTTTTCTGTCTCAAAAAATATATGTAGGTGGTGATGTATGGACTGATATATCCTCCAATAGTGTTTCCCCTGCATGCTTGTTTACCAGTTTTAGTTGTCAAGCCGTACTTCCAGAAACATTGTTTTTTTTTTCTTCTAATCTCAAATTTACTTTCAGACATGAATGTCTTGCAAACTTACATATAAAACAGCTTTTGAAATGTGGTACATATAAAAATTTACATGAAAATTTCATTTATATGTTAAAAAAAAATCCCTATGTTTTCGCCTAACAGTAGCTTTTTTGAAAAGTAATTATTAACTTGTGAGTTGTGAAATGATATTAACATGTTAACAGTATCATGGAAATGTTTTGTCGAGCCACGACATTCTTACAACTTCTCTTTGTTGAACTCGCAAAGGAAGTAATCCCAGTTAAAGGGAATTTAATTCTTCCTTGATAATCTAGGTTCGAGTAACGTATTCTCCACGTGTCTAAGTTTAAAACTAATTCTTCTAAAAACAAATTAGGGGTAAAGTACTCTTTGATTATAGGGAATTGATAAACATATGAATAGTTGGAAGATTATTTTATAACTTTTAATAGCCGGGATACTCAACAAAACATCACACTATAATTTGAGAACATGTGTTGTCCTATATTTAATTTTAAAAAATCTTCAATTAGAACGGATTTATATAGAATCAATGAATATATATATATATATATATATATATATAACACTAAATTTATTTAATAAAAAATGAATTATTAATTGTATTAAAATTATATAATTTTTCATCAACAGGTTGGTTTAAGTGACAAACAATTTGATATCGCTTAAGTATGTATCGAGTTTGAGTCTTGTATATGCAGAAAATCTCTGTTAAGAGACTTATCTACCAAAGTTTGGTGTGCGAAAAGGATCAGTGCAAAAGGGATCGGTGCGGATTAATTAGGAAGTCTTACATATTGTAATCATTTTAGAATTCTGCAAATTGTCTCGTACTGAATCGGCAATGTAAGGTATCGTTTTCCTTCCCAAAAAAAAAAGGAAAAAAAAAAAAGAGTTTTTAACTTTAATCTTGAACGTTTCTAGACCAACAAATCGTTGCAACATTATAAATACTTACTCCCCACCCATGGTTTTCCACAATTAAAGCAACAAAACTAAATGGGAGTTTATCGTTCATTTTCGCAATTGCTGCTTTGATGTCCCCGTCGATATTGATGGCTACCGATTTCATAGTCAGCGATGATCAAGGGTGGCGTCTAGGAGTCGATTACGATGCATGGGCTCAAGGCAAACAATTCTTTGTAAGAGACAATCTTGGTCTACTTTTCTATCCAATATTCTTAGTAATATTTTTTTTAAATAGTCTAAGATGAATAATTTTCTTAGTATAGGTTAAGAATTTTCTTAACCTTTGATAATGCGCACACACTACATATATGCAGGGTGTGTTATATTTATTCTAAGGTTTTGACATATTTAATAAGATTTATGTTGTGTTTGCATAAACATTGACGTAGGAATATGATTCACTAGACATATTTTTGATCTATAAATTCTAAGAATGTATGAGGATGACATCCTAATTTAAAACCAAGGAATGACAATTGAAAATGTTATAAAAAACATAATATTTTCGGTTGAGCGTGACCTAAAATGTTAACTTTTTCTAAGCATTTTTCGGTTGTACACATTCTTCATAACATTTGCGGCTGACAACAAAAAATGTTACATTCTTCATAACATTTTCGGTTCAACTGAAAATGCTAAAAAGTTGACATTTTAGGTTGCTCTCAACAAAAAATGTTATGTTTATAACATTTTCGGTTGTGCCTATTTCATATCATTCCTTAACCTTAGATTAGTTTGTCGCACATCAGAACTTCCCATAAATTCCCTTGGAGATCAAAGACTCGTTTTTATGTTCTTTTTGTTGTTACAGTTTTCCAATACACGGCAGGAGTTCACAATGTGTACAAAGTGACCGGAGATGAATTCCAAAACTGCACTGTTCCATCAAGCAATAGCTTATGATAAATGCTTAACATTTTGAAAGTTGAGTTAATAAAAGTTAGTGTTCATCCTATTAGGGGAAACGTCCAACTGTCTACTTCATAAAGAGTGTTATCATTTATCTTAAAGATATAGTTTATTCTCTTGCATATTATCAATTTGTACCTCAGCTAGATACCCCAAACACATCATTATCTTAAAATTAGTTTTCAATCTTTCATAGTTCAAGTGAGGCTTTTAGAACCATCTTAATCAGAATTATGTTGAACTCATTCAGTGATCTTAGTTGTAAAAATGAATTCTTTTCTTCGTAGAGGACTAGAGTTCGAGCAGTTGCGTTTATAGAATGTGCGTGAGTTGTCGATATGCTAAGAAATTTTAAACATATAATACCTTATAATAACTCTTGACCATTCAAAGAAACTCAGCATATTCTTCGCAAATATATTAGTGTTATATTTCTGTTGAAAAGTCAAAAATGGATGCATAGCAACCGGCGGCTAGATGATTCAATAAAATTAGATAGCATGATTTTGTTGAAATTGGCAAGGGAAAATTACCAAATTTAGTCCCTGTACTTTAGGGTATTTAGAAGATTAGTCCTTAAGCTTCAACTATAAATACCCTAACCCATTTAGCTTCAAAACTATCCCAAATCATTCTAGCTTTCTCCCAATACTAGAGAATTTAGAGAGTTTTCTTAAGAGTTGTTTTCTCCTTTTTATTTTCTCAAATTATCAGTTACGATTTTGCTCTATCCGATAGCCGTATTCCGCAACAATTTCTTCGTTTAACAACATTGTTCTTTGATGGTGTGCCTGTTGTATTGCATAGAGCCGAATGAAAGTCAAATTGTGGGTTCAGACTTGATTTGAGAAGATGAGGATAAGGTGAAGTAGATTTATGATGCAACACCCCGAAATTTAGTTCGGAAAATTATGATTCTTAAAGTTTAATATCCAATTGTAAAGGTTGTAAAATTGAGGGGTTTAATTGAATTAAATAATAAGTACACAGATTCTAAATCAAAGGAAAATAAAAATGATGGTATAATTGAAAAGATTTTGTTAACTTTGGGGACTGGAATGAATGCATGCATGATAGCATAAAAGGCTTAATAGGGATGGTGGGGATGGTTTTAATATTAAAGTTTAAATTTGGGGCATAAAAGGCTTAATATGGATGGTGGGGATGGTTTTAATATTAAAGTTTAAATTTGGGCTATTTAAAGGCCCAACTATAAATAGGGAACTTTTTCCACGTTGTTCATCTTTTTTTGTTGCCGTTCAAAGTCCTCCCTCTCTCTTGCTATCCCTAAGCAATTTTTTATCAGTGTGGAGTAATTGTCGATCATTACAAGTTGATTTCCAGTCGTCTTCCACCGTTCGTTTGCTCCGTTCGAGGCAAGAAAGGTCTCAAAATATAAATCTTACCTTTCCTAACGTAAATTCGACCACAACATGTTGAAATAATATCGTCTCTATTGTAGATCTAAGGATATTGACGCTTTCATCACCACCGTCATGAGCTATCGAATTGAGAAGTTCCACTCTCCTTCATTTTTTTCTTTTTTTTCTCTTCTCATGTCTAATTTCTTTCTTGGAGACAAAATATATAATATATACACTTAATAAATTTATATTATACTATAAACAGTATATTATGAGATTATTCAGTGTCTATATACTCTATAGACACTCAATAATCCTATAGTATACTGTTTAGTAGTATATAGACACTCAATAATCTCATAGTATACCATTAAGAGTATATAGTAAATAAACACTCAATAATCCTATATTATACTATTAAGAGTATATAGTATATCGATACTCAATAATCCCATAGTATACCATTTAATGGTATAATGTAGGATTGTTGAATGTCTAATTTATATTGTCAATAATGAGTTGACGGATGTTATTAGTTACGTACTAGCAGACGTAGGGCTAACCTTCTGAGTAGGGGTGTGCAAATACGGGTACTCAAATTTTTGGGTACCAGAAAACCGGGTACCCAGAACATCTGGGTTAACGATTTCTCGGCCCGTGTTCCGACCCGAATGTTCCGGGTACCCGAATACCCGGATTTTTTTCTTTCAAATTATTAAATAAAAAAACACAAAAAAACACAAATTATTATACCGAAACTAAAATTTCATGAGAAACCACACTAAAAATCTCAAACACATTAATCTTTTCGGATTCCTTAGACGGCTTAGTTGATGAAGACAACATCTCTATATCATGAATATTTTCTCCTATCATTGAATTATCTGGAAAAAAAAAGTCTGGCATTTGTCAACAAACTAAAAGTCAAAGAAAACATGTATAGATTACTGTAATCTATACAAAGTGAAACCTTAGAGGTAAGGAAGGGAGCCGTAATTCTAGGACAAGCAGATTAGTAACAGTTACAAAGTAAACTTGGGAGGAAGCCATAAAATCAAAGGTATGAAGCACTTGGTACCTTCAGAAACTTGTGTGCTTGTGCATGTACATTTGTATGTATTGTGCTTTCTGTGCAAAATACACAGTTTTGAACTTAGATACTTAATACGGGAGGGACACATAGAATTTACATAATTTAAGCTTTATCTGATGTAGAATTTTCTCAACTGGTTTATGTATGTCTAGAAGTTACTTTAAGATGAAAAATAAACCATATTCCAAACACTGGATCATGTTGAAGAACACATTGGTGTAACTTTTTGCAGGTTAGTTCTCAGACTCATCGTTCCAAACTTTCATTGCTAAACAAAGTTAATGAACAAAAGTCACTTGCTGGTGCTACAAAAGCTAGAGAGAAGGTGGGAGTTGGCAGCAAAGTGATAGGTTTTGGGAAAGAAAATAACATAGGTGAAATTCATCTGAGCCAGAAATGCAGTGGAAAAGGCAAGGCTGCTGAAGGTATGGTTGCAGGTAGAAAAGGGCCAAACCAGAGTGCATCTGCAAAGGGTGGCAAAACTTAAACTCGGCAGGAAAAATCAATTTTTTTGACCCGGGCCTGACCCAGAAAGTGTCGGGACCCGGCCCGACCGGGTTTTTTAATAGAAAATTACCCGATTTTTTATCCAGGTCTACGAGTCGGCAGGTCGGGTCAACCGAGTCGGTAATTTTGCACACCTCTACTTCTGAGTACTAATGGATCTCCCTTTTGACTAAGTCCATCAACCACTTGATTTTGCTTTCTAGTCTTATGTTTGAAGTTGAAGTTAAACTTTATTAAAAACTTTTCATTTAGTTTATTTCACCGTCAACTTCAGTTACTTCAAGAAGTGGCTAACCACTTTCTTATTTGTTTTTACCATAAACTTTAAGCTTAACAACTAATGTTGTCAAGTCCTTAACCAATGATTTACTGCTAAGAATTCTTTCTCGAGTGTATATATCATATTCCTGTGTCGTTTGACTTTCTTTTCTCAAACACCACGAGTGATTATTTTATAGAAGTACCCCTCCATTAACACAATGTGATACATTAGTTTTGACTTCCAAAGGCTTTTTTTTTTAAATCTAGAAGGACTAGAACTAGATACCTCATTAACATGCATTTTATTTTCTCAAAGACTTCTTGACATTTCTTGGACCATATCCACTCTTTCCCTTTATTTAATAAACTAATGAGTGTTGCTATTATTTGAAAGTAGCCATTGAAAAATTGTCTATAGTAATTGACAAGTCAAGAAAATATTTGAAATGTAACCTCCTTAGACCGATGCGGTAACCTGATCCGATCCGGGAAGTTACATTAGGGCCACCGGAGCGACCCTCCGTAAAAATAGCGGAAAATTTAAAACTTTTTATCAGAACATGTAAACTCATAAAATCATTTATCAATATTCAGAAATAAAATAAATTTACAGACTCATATTTAAAACAAAATACAATTACATGACCCTAATCACATGTACCATACTCTGATAACAACGCCGGAAGAACTCCCTTACTGAAGTTGATAACTGCACTGGTATAATTCTTTTAACCTGCAATGGTGAGTAATAGAGTGAGCTTCGGAAAGCTCAGTAATACAAAACTACCAGATGATGCTGAAGAACGTGCAGATACAAATAAACATATATTTCCTTATTGGTTCAGATATCTACAGATTTCTTTGGATGAGTTGAGGTCCCATTGATATTTCAGGTAGTAACAGATAATATTCAATTCATATGGAAATATTTCGGATGTCTAGGTTCAGGATATCAGAATAGGTTATCTAATGTGTTCCCGTAAAACCAGTGAAAAGATACAGATAAAATATTTCAGTAAAATCAGTTTATGTAACATGTTTTTAAAAAAAACATGAACACTACCCCCATCTGTCAAGTCCAAAATGTGTAGGTTCCCCAGAACCATACACTCACCGTCAAGTCCAGTAAGGCCCTGAGCACACAGCCGAGGAGCCGGTAAGTAAGGCCCTGAGCACACAACCGAGGAGCCTTCAGGTATACTTCCTCCAACATTACCCCCCAAATAAAACATGTTTCGTCCGTAAACAGATATATCAAAAATCAAAACATAATCCAGGTCAAGTATCAGATCAAAATCCAGGTCAAGTATTCAATCAGAATCCAGGTCAAGTATCCGATCAGAATCCAGGTCAGGTATTATAATAGAAATCAAATCAGAAATCAGGTTAAATATCCAGGTGATTAGGGAACACACCAGAGTTTACAAAAATTATTCAGAGGTACTGGATAATCTTAGCAGATAGAGAAACATGAATCTTCATTATACCAATAGGATATCAGAATTTAGAATCACTATTGGAAGAGTTCAATAACTGACAGAATCATCAATTATTCAGAATAAGACTTGAGCTAATAGGGAAGAAATGAAGGTTCAGGACATTTACAATCTATGTCGATTAATCAGTTTATCGAACAACTCCAGATGAATAGCTCCCAGAAACAATACTTATCAACTTGTCAATTCATTAACTTTCCAAGGTATTTACTCTTTAATACAAAATATTATTATCCATATATCATCTTCTAAGTCATCACTGAACA